GGAGAAGAAATGGGTAGGAAATATCAGAAAGGGAGACAGAACATGAGAGACTCCTAACTCTGAGAAACGAACTAGGGGTGGTGGAAGGGGAGGAGGGCGGGGGGTGGGGGTGGCTGGGTGGTAGGCACTTAGGGGGGCACTTGACAGGATGAGCACTGGGTGTTATTCTGTATGTTGGCAAATTGAACACCAATAAAAAATAAATTTATTATTAAAAAAATAAGCACAATAAACACAGGGCCTCTCATCTCATCCCTTTCTTCATTCAGCAGGTAGTAGGCAGAAAGCACAGAACCGTGTGCTTCCGAAAGACTCATCGGGCCAGTCTTGGAGAGGTTTAAATTCTGGCACAAGGTATGGGCTGCATAAATAATGATAACATGAGATCAGATGTGATATGCAGCATAAGAGAAAGAGTATAGAACACCGTAGAATTTACGAGGGAGTAAGTACTTCTGGTGGGTGTAGTCATGTGGCTTGCTGAAGTTAGGGATATCTGTGCTCAAGATCCGCCCGGGGGACCTTGGGGGTGGGAGAGACTGGACAAAGTTGGGGCCCCCGGGGGGACGTGAGGTGCAGTGGAAGGGTCAGGTTGCAAAAGCTGCGTGGAAGGAATCAACCAGAATCAAGGCCAGAGGGAGCTGAGGCCTGAATGCCCTGCCAAGCAACGGGCAGTGCCCCGCCAGCTGAAGGGAGGCTTTGAACAGGAACAGGGATGATGTGAGAGCGGGTTTTAAGGTGATTAATCTTGGCAGTGGTCGAGAAGACAGATTAGATGGAAAAGAGATTGGAAACAGTTTAGGAGACTATTGAAATCGGCTGGGGGCGGCAGTGAGGAGAGCCTGAAACACAGGTGGAGGCCACGCAGTAGAGAAGGAGAGCGTGGGTTTTCAAGAGGTCCCAGCAAAGGAGTCTTAAGTCACTCAATTTTTCCTGAAGCATGAGGACGTGGAGCAGGGTTGTTTTTCCCACTGTTCAATCATATTTGCTATTTTTAGAGAAAGATAGCATTTCATTGCCTAATTTAAGAATGAGTCGTGTCACAATAGTACTGAGCCACTTTCTGGGCGCTTTTGAAATTAGGAATTCTACGAAGAAGGCGATTCTTTAAAAGGTTTTCCCATGTTTCAAGTGAGAGTTTTCATTGAAGAAATAATACATTACGCAAGGCAAAATCCCAAGCAGGCCACAGTGACAGATGAAACAAAATCTCCTCTCTCATCGGGGAGCCTCTCTTCTGTATTCTAGAGGCAACCATTGCTATCATTTTCTAAGACATTATTCAAAAATGTTCAATGCATTGGAAAGGTTAAATGCATACCTATATTCCCCCCGCCCCCATCTTTTGAACCACTGGGCCCCCATTCCACCAGTTGACTTTCTTTCTCATAATGCTTTCTCCAGTATAGGGTTCCTTGATTCATCACTATTGACATTTGGAGCTGGGTTATTCTTTGTTATAGGGTCTGTCCCATGCAGGGTAGGTCACCAGGATATAGAAGCATCCCTGGCCTTTACCGGAGAGATGCCATGAACACTCTCCAGTTGTGACAACCCAAAAGGTTTCCAGCTATTGCCAAATGTTTCCTGGAGGACAAAATTGTCCTGGTTGAGAACCGCTGCTCCAGTAAAGCATTTCTATCACTCTTCCTTTTATTAAGTCCAACTGTTTATGTCTTTCTCCCCACAAGTCTGTATCCTTTTTTAGAGCAGGTATGACATCTTAGTTAGTTCTTCATTTTTACGACGTACGGTGCTCACACCGACTCATGAAGAGTTATTAAATGAAAGGAATAGACATGACATTGAATGTAATTAATGACTATCTTAAACACCATGAAATTCTCACCATGAAATTCATTAAGGTAGAAAGTAATAATCAAACACATGCTAATAATTTTCCTGGGTACTTGTAGGGGTTACCAGGCATCACGGACACTTTAATCAGCAGGGTTTTCATGACATTTGGAGAAGCAAAGAACTAGACATGTGAAAAGAACACCAACCATGTAAGGGCAGAGCATATGGTGCCCAACTGGACGATGCAGGGAATAATAAATACCATCAAATTTAGCAAAAGCAGAGAGGCAGGTTTTATAGTTGTGTTCCTAGTTTTCGAATAAATGGTCCATGAATTAATGTGTATGTGCAGTGTGCGTGTGTATGTGTGTGTGTGTGTGTGTGTGTGTGTGTTGGGCGGGGGGAAGGGAGGGAAAGGAAGAAAAAGGAAGTATTGTTTGGGATGGGCTGACATGCTGAGGCTACCAAGGTGCTAACAAAACGAGGACCCACTGAAAGCTTGAGAAATTGACTCTAGACCTTACTCAAGTTATCCTGAAGGCTTGAATTGGGTCGTGTTCGAGGATGGCCGATCCTGGATGTCTCAGTATGTTTTAAGGAGTTAGATGTTCCAAAAAATGTAATACAGAAGGTGGCCATGGAGAAACCTCTGCTCTCTCCTTCCCTCTCTTGTTATCTCCTTCATGGGACATCTACTGTGTGCCAGCTATGTGTCAGCCGTATGCCAGGTACCAGTAACGCAGCTCTGAGTACCCTGAGAAGGATTCCGTTCTGAGAGAGGTTTGGTCAAATGAACAGAGACTTCACACATAGACTATATGAACTCTGAAAGGTCCGAGTGTTATTTCAAATTTCCAAACCATCTGCATTCATAATACATATTTATTCTCTATTGTCTCTGGACGTACTAAAGGCAATTAAATATTACGTCATAAACCTCCCAGATATGTCAGGAATTTTAAGCTACACTGACCACAATAATTGATTTACCACTGCAGTGCTACTCCCTCAGGACTGAAAAGCCGCAGATACTCTATGCATGTGAAATAACTGCCTAGATGTTTGGGTGAGACAGTGAGGAATCTCTAATAAAACAGAAAATCGAGCCACTGTAAGAAAGCGGAATGTAATTATCCAGTTGGAATTTGGCCAGTTTGGTAGACAGATTCTCTCAATTCCTGAGGAAGGGAACATAAGAACTTTAAATTATCCTATGCTTCATCTACGAATATATTTCTGACTCAAGCACAAAAGTACCCATTAGCTTTTGAATCTCCCCCAGTCCTACCTCCTTGACAACCCCTCTGAAAAGTTCAGAGCTCTAGGAGCTTGGATGTGAGCCATGAAAACCTTTACTTGGGCAAAATTTGCATTTCTCTGCTGGACAGGAACATTTATACAGTAGACATTTAGAAAAACTCTACTAGGGTTTTGGAGGTAAGCTCTCTAATTGAGGGGTAGAAGTTGTGGTATCAAATACACCAACATCACCTCGTTGCTGAGTGCTGCTTAGACAACAATCTGTCCAATTCTAAATCTGGGAGGGCAAGGCCTTTTTTGATTATAAACTCCATGAGAATTTCCTGAAAGCTCTGAACCTATCTCCACTCTTTTTTCTTTCTTGTGTATGTGCGTGTGTGTGCGCGCACCCACACATGCATGCCAGTGCACCCCTATATGCAATTTCAGGGGTAGAGCATCTACTTCACTGAATTCAATCCATGGACCCTCGTACTCCAGGTTTAGAAGATATTATTCGGTTGGCTTGATTTTCTATAGGCTATTACTTCAGGAGAGGAAAAGTAAATTCTCTCCTGTAACGCATGGACTGCTAGGGAAACTTCTATGCCTTTGTTCTCTCTGGTTGGAGAGTTGGGTCCAGTATATCACATATAAAGAAGACTTACACATCAAGTTCCTTTTTATCTCAATCTATGTCTCCACCATATATATGTATAGATCTATATGTCTCTATCATGTATATCTATATATCTGCCTTTATCTCATCAAAAATAGATTGTTTTATGTTCCATATTCTATAGAAATGATAGAACATCATTATATAAGCTAAGTCTTAAACTTACAGGTGCCTTATTTCAGTGATAAATGTCTTGGGGTTAACTGCTTAAAATATTTCCAAAAGAATTTTACATATTCTAAGTGCTTAATGTTGCTAATATGTTAATTTACTCTGAACAAATTAGGGCATCTGAATCAAATAATTCAACTGGGATTTTCTCTCACCTTGGGATATTTAAAATAAATTACTCAACACCCAATATGCTAGGTATATTTTGAAGCTACTTCTTCGAAACCACTCTTTTCTCATTGAAGACTTGAGATAATCTTTACATCTCACTAGATATTCTTTTAAAAAGTGTCGACTTCTCACAGCAGGCACACATTTATCCTCTCTTCCTTCTTTCTTTCCTATATAATTTACTGTAACTGGACACACTGAGGTATTAAATCAACACATTTATTTATTATCTACAAGGCATTGTGTCAGATAGAATGGGGAATTTAAAGACATATAAGACAGATCTTCTGGAGAGGATCTATTGCTGAAGATAAGACATGGACCAAAATAGTATGAACTTAATGTTAGGACTATTATTTACAGTTTTGTGTATAGAAAGTAAGTATATTTGTTATAGTTATCTGGCAAATGATAACCTTATTTTACCTCAGAACTCTGTAGTAAATAGAGGGTTGGGCATCATCATTTAAAAAAATATTGATTTATTTTTTTAAAAGGAGAGAGAAGTTTATTGAACACATTATAAGGGAGCAGTGGGCAGGACAGCAGAGGAGAGGCTGTCTGCCAGGAGGCCATTGGGTGGAGGCTGTTTTTAAAGGGAAAAGGTGAAGACATACAGTGATGTATGGAACTCTCTCTTTTCTGGTAATTGTGCCTGGTTGTAAGTAGCCCATTGGTCAGGGCGCATGTATACTTTGAGGTGGGCAACCTGATGGGCCTGTCTGTATTCAGCCAGAGGGTCACCTGGGGACCCTTTTGCCTTGATCAAGTTTCTATTGCTCAAGACTGTTGCCTACAAGTGGTCTCTACGTCCCCACCCCCACCCCACCTGCCCCGAACAATTTTCACCTTAAATCTTTACGGTGATGGAGAACATCATCATTTTTCAAATCTTTTATGAAATAATAATATTTTTTTAAAATTAGTGTTTATTTCCTACCAGACAAAGCTGTCAAATTTGCATTTTTGATGAAAACTTCAGTTATTCCAAGAGCCTTCAAAACCTCCTTTAAATCAATTTCCTGCTCCACTGTGAACCTAGAAAACACATAGGGGGAAAAGCATTTAGTTACAGGACTTTTAAAGTATTTAGTTACAGCATCCTGTTACCTGGGACAAGAATAAAAACGTTGGATATGTTTAATGGTAAATTATGCTAAAACTGGCTTTTGACTGCAAGTAGAATTTGATTGTGCTTATAAAAAGAGGAGAGAGCAAAAAGAATAATGTATCAGAATAATATTAAATGATTAAATATGAAAACTATTTGATGTGGACACGAAAGTGTAATATACATGGTGGAATAGTGTTTTTGAGCTCAAGAGCGTAAAACTTACATTCTTTCAAAATTGTGTGACCCAGTAATATATTTGACTTTTTTTTTTTTAAAGCTGGCAATGGCTAATCAAATATTTACATAACTAAGGCATGTCATTCTTTTCTGAGTGTCCTGCTCAATTCCCTGTGGAATTGATATAATGAATACATCTTCCATTTCAACTCCATAGACTCAGAGAAAGAAAATATAAAATCTGTCATGTTAAAAATATATATCTTCGTGAATATATTAACCTCCAGGACCTGAGCCTGATTTCCTAGTAGCATCACAGAAACCATGTTAATCAACAAAAGTGAATTAAATATTACATCTTAAGACCTGTACACTTTTACAATTATATTAGAGATTCCTTTTTAAGCAAAAGAATAACAATTTTTTTAATTTTTTGTCTAATGGGCTTTATGAATTATACATAAATGTGCATCACATTTACAAGAAATAAAACATTACTTAAAACTGAAATGAAAGTAAGTGGTCATGAACAGAATATTAAGTTTAAAAAATAGTTTCCACAGAAACCCTGATTGGTCCCAATATAGAATCTCTCCCAAACCAATGGATTGTATCACCCATGTTTCTAGTGAAAAATATGAAGTAAACACGGCTGCATTAACACACAAGTGTGGGGTTTTTTTTAAATGCAAAGGTTATTACTTTTTTATAAAAAGTAAAAACCAGTAGAAGTAAATGTTTTTTTTTTTCTAAGATTCTGCTTTTTGATCAATAAAGATCATAAATGTAAGTTTTTAGACAATGGGCTGTATCCTTAGAAAAGTTATATCTGTGAGAGTCTCTAAACATTATGTCAGCATCATTTCTAATGCCTAGTTTTAAAAAGAATGACAAGGAAATGGTTGCTATAAATTAGACTCAGACATCAAGAGGAATCATCAGGGGAAAGTAGTTTTACCAGGTTCATGTTTATGGGGAAAATAGGACAAATAGAGAAATAAATATATAGCTAACATATTAAACCAAGTACTGAATTTTATCTGTATCCTACACTTTACCTTGAATTTAGCATTGTTTCTTTTGTTTCCTGCAAAAAGCAGATGCTGTTTGTGAAAGTAGAAAAGGGGGATGAGTATGGAATGTCTTAAAGAATACATTGAATGGCTTGATTAAGGTGTTTTGTGTGTGCGCATTTTACGTTTGCTATTGATTGATTGATGATTGATCACTTATATGGAGATTACTATATACCAAAAACTATTCGAGGACTTTAACAGATTAATTTGAATATCGCTAAAGCCCTTGGAGGTAGGTATTATTATTATTATCCTCAGTTAATAGAAGAAACTAAGGAGAAGAAAGATGAGACAATTTGACCAAGGTCATACGGCTAATAAATGGCAGAGCAGGGGCAGGGATCAAGGTTGTATTCTGTATGTCCTGATCCACCTAAAATAGGAAAATGAAGGAAGAGATCAGGAGAGGATTCTTTGTGCTTCTTAAGAACAACCTGGTTTGTTTCTCATTTCTGAGGCTTGCTGTGTCAGGTGAGCATTGTAATTTAGCCAGATTGATTTTGGGCAAGTTCCTTAACTTATGAGCTTTGGTTCTGGCGTGTAGGAAATGGCATTAATAATACCTGCCTCATAGTGTTGTTCCAGGAATTGAATATGGTTTATAAAAGTCTTAAAAAAAAAGATTTTGTTTTTAAGTATCTCCGTACCCAGTGTGGGGCTCAAACTTAAAGCCCCGAGATCAAGAGTTGCATGCTCTACTGACTGAGCCAGCCAGGTGTCCCAAAGGTTTTTAGAAGTCTTAGGATGGTGCCAGTATATAGGATGTATGTAATAAAGGGCAGATTGTGTTAACTGCACTCATGATATTGCAGTTCTGTATAACATTCACATTACTATAGATGTTAAGGTATTACATCTTTGCATTTTAGTAAGGTGGAATGATTTGATTAAATAGCTATTTAATTCCTGCTGCTTTAGCTATAAATTAGTCAAATCTAGTGTCTTTTTTATTTTAATATCTGTAGTATCCAACATAGGACATTACACATAGGTAGAAGTGAAAAAAACCGAGGTGACCATGAGAGCGTTTGTTTAAAGTTGAAGAGAGAATGTGAACAATTTCCACTTATCCATTTCTTGTCAAACTGTTGAAAAATAGCTATGATCTATTTACTACCTCTTTCTTAATATAGACTCATATTCACATGAAGTAGCATTATCCTCTCCCATACACTGAGGGCTCACTATGTCCCAGACACTGCACAATCCTTTTACAAATGGTATCTCATTTAATCCTCCCTCTCAGGGATGATAAATCTCACAGAACCCTATGAGGTTATGTATTGTTATCTCTATTCTACAGAAGAACAAACTGAGGTTCAGACAAGCTAAGCAACTTGGCCTAATCACACAGCAAGTAGGTAATAGAATGAGGATATGAGCTAATAAGGTCTGTCTGACTGCAAAATCCTCTTCCACTAATAACTATAATTTTAACAATGGCTATTTAAAAACTATCAAAAACTACGGGTAGATTTTACATTTCATCCACTGAATTTATTTATTTATATTTAAAGATTTTATTTACTTATGGGAGAGAGAGACAGAGACAGAGACAGACATAGGCAGAGGGAGAAGCAGGGAGCCCAATGCAGGACTCCATCCCGAGACCCTGGGGATCACTCCCTGAGCCAAAAGTAGTTGCTCGACCACTGAGCCACCCAGGTGTCCCCACTGAATTTAAAAATAAAAAGCTACAACACTACTTTTTTAAACCTAGTGACATGGCTATTCTAATAATGTCATCATGCATTTGCAACTTTGGAAAGAGAAACACTGGAGACTGAGATTTGTAGAGCAAATGTTGGAAAAGAATACATACCTATTACATGTAAGGAAAGGAGATTTGTAAAACTTAGAAGCAATTAAGAAACTAATCAAGAAAGTGTGTAGACAAACCTAATCAAAAGCACTCGTGTTAAAGAACAAAATCAGATGGCTGCTTGTATTAGCTTTCTTTTATAAACAAGAAACTAAAGTACTTGGTTTCTAAGACAGTCATTTCAAAATAACAGGATGGTCTCTGGTTACAAAACAGAAAACCACTCTATATCCATTGATTTCTAGCACTCTGGTCACAAATGACAAATCTGAGACTACAAAAGTCAGAGTGGAAAGATACAATAGCCAGGTACCTCTGCATTCCAAGGATTAAGATATTTGACTTTCATTCTAGAACAACCTTCTTGCACCTTATACAGTGAAGAAGGTAATGTTCTTCAGAACAAGGTTTTTAAACAATCTTACTGGAAGAGAAGTATATATAAAGCTACCCCTAGATTACCACAAGGTGAGTACTAGGACTTAAAATGTACACTGAAAATAAATAAGAATAGCGATAATAGATGATAATTATATGATGATTACTCTGTGCTAGGCATTTTTCTAAAGTGCTTTTTAGATATTTTACATATATTTTTATCTATATTAGCCGAACTATTTTTGCTGCCATGAATAAATTCGGAGAATATCTGGTAATCTCATTTAAATCTTAGAAATGTATGACTGTGCATAAACCTTTTGATATTTCACTGGATTTGATGATATCATACAGGAATAGCAATTTTACCCTTTCCTAAATAGAATTTTGTATTCTGGATAAAAATACAATTTCAACTCCGCATCTGATTCCTGTGGTACTTATTATTCAGGGAGATAAATTATAAAAATACAAAGGTATCCCTTTGCCCCTCTCAAAATGCCCTATTCCTTTTAAGAAAGGCATTTATGAAGCACCTGGGTGGCTCAGTGGTTGAGCATTTGCCTTTGGCTCAGATTGTGATCCTGGGGTCTTGGGATTGAGTCCCACATTGGGCTCCCCACAGGGACCCTGCTTCTCTCTCTGCCTATGTCTCTGCCTCTCTCTCTGTGTCTCGAATGAATGAATGAATGAATGAATAAATAAATAAATAAATAAATAAATAAAATCTTTAAAAAGAAAGAAAAGGCATTTAAAACCTACATGCATAAAATCTAATATAAACAAAAATACCTATCAAGTAGGACAAGAATGTGGTCAAATTCTAGAAATGCAAAGTTGCCTTATCAGAGTAATGTCTCTATGTGAATAAAACTATACAAACATCTTAAGACAGATACTTCAGTAAACCTAGGATATGGCTATTAAAAAATGTTTACCTTTGCTAAAATGAGGTCACAAGAATCATTACCCTCAATGAATGTTTAATGGATCCTAATGCTGTAAAATGGGAGGGGTGGATCGTTTCCTATTGATTATTACCTATACATAAGTGTTTGAAAACAGTCAAGTTCTTAAAAAGGGAAACCAGATTCATGTTATCTATTTAGTCTTTCTTTCTATGCATTAACCATGCAGAAGAGAGTTCATAGAACTTCTGGAGAAATGGATACATCGTAATTAACTGTGCCTAGTTTAGTATGAGGCATTAATATGAGCCAGCAAGCAAGCTAAACTATTTCATAATTGAAGAGTATCTCTTAGAAAATGAAAATTTAATTTTCTTCTGCTGCCACGTTCAATTTCTCTGTGGACAGGACCTGGAGGCCACATTTTCTAGTGAATATGGTTGAGTTAGAATATATGATACTTATTAAGCATTCACTTAAAATTCTGTTAAAATACTCCTAAATAACTTTGCATCCTCACAGAGTTGAAGCATTTGGACATGCTGCACTTAATTCATGGAATTTAATAAGGGAAGCATTAACACTGCACTGAATTCCTCATATTACCAGAAAGAACTCCTTTAAAAATATACAGAAAAGCACACAATATCAATATCAGCCAAAGAAACATGAGAAGAGCATTTTAGGCCAATGCAAAAATATACATGGAGACCCAGAGGCAGGCAAAAAGCATACTATCTGTAGCATAAGAGTAAGCACATGGATAGTACATGCTAGAAAGTGTTTGTTGTGATGAGTAGCCAGAGGTGGGCTTGAGATGAACATGGAGGCCCCACATAGATTTTATTATTTAAGCCATAGGGAGAATTTTAAGCTTTTTCCTGCTTATTTATGGTTGCATCTTGGCATCCAGCACAGTAACTTGCTTGCACTTCTTCCAACAATGTCAGGGATTATTTTCTCTCCTGCTATAATCAACTTTAAATATTAATGAAATACACAAGACTGCCAATGTAAATGATATTCAGAGATGATCTATTGAGAAATCTTCTAAAATGAAGCTAAGAATATTGACTAGGATCTGAAACTAGGTCTTGGTAAATAGTACCGAGTGAATCAATGAGTGAGCTTGTGTCTCTGGGCAGATCCTCGTGAGTACAAACGAATACTTTTTAAAAAGGAGAAGGAAGAGAAGGAGAGGAGAGGAAGGGAGGAAAGAGGGAGGGGAGTGGGAGGAAGAGAGTAGCTAAGACTTAAAATTCAAAGGCAGTGGCAAGTGTTTTTCTGAGTCAGAACCTACATTGAAATCTCTCCCTCCATGCTGTCAGAGGGAGTCACACAGGAACCTCTTACCTGGGCAGGTACACTTCCACTTTTTGTTTCTTCACGGAGTTTGCCCATTCTTCAATCAGCTGTGCTTTGACCAATGGCTCCAGAGTTGCCAGCGGAACTTCCTGTCTGGACAATACCAGCATCATACTTATTTCATCTCCCTCATAGGGTATTTCTAGAACTTGGTAGATACCACCAGCTTCATTGGAGCCATCACTAAATTCTCCTAAAATACAAAGAAAGTTGATAAAAGGCCCATATCAAAGCTCAAATAAAAGGTTTAGTTTGTTACAACTTTCTTCCAAAAGAGTGTATAGTGTATAAGAAATTCAGGCATCTGGGAAAAGGGGGGTTGTTGTTGTTGTTGTTGTGTTGTTTTAAATAGACCCTGAAATCTTTGGTCCTAAAAATTGTATTTTTCTTTTAGAATTTCTTTTAGAATCCCCAGAATCATATCACATTTGTCATAATATGCTCCCTAGACTTAGTTTTTATTTTTAAATGAAGATACTTCAAATGAATATATATTTAAAGAATATCTTTAGAAACAATGATAAGTCCTGGTTAGAAAAATAAAGCCCTGCATCCAAGTTAGATGTAGTTCACATTTGCTAATACCCACCTGATCTCTAAGAAGGGAAAAAGTGACCACATAATACCTGGGACTTTATTATTACCATAGCTAAAAGTTTTGAGGCAGAGGTAGTATAGTCAAACCAAAATCTATTATATTCTGTAAGAGTTTTCTAGTGTATTTGTGGTGTTTAAGTTCTCCAAATTAGGTAATGAGGTAGTTGGGTAATGAGCTTTGTATTCTAATGACTTAGCTAAATTCACCAGGATTCCATAAAAAAATAAGGAAGTCTTTAAAAAAAACGGTCCTGTTGCTACCTTAGATTTCCCCCATTTTCAAAAAAAAAAAAAAGTAATGCTTTTGTTATGAGTATTTTCCTATAACTGATCTAGGTCCTTTAGAGCATTAAACATTTTGGTTCTCAAATATAGTGTGTAAGAATACAGTTCAATGTAGTGTGGAAGAAGGATTAACACCCTAGGCTTCTGGAAAGTCCAATGAAATATCTTTGAAAAGATATTTTCAAAGATGTTTCAGACACACACAGTCTGAAAGCAAATTTTTAAGGAAATGCTTGTGATTCAAAAAGTGGTAAGGAATCCAAAGCAAGAGCAAAGGGGAGCATATGGGTCACTGACAACCACCCCAAAGTCAATGGCTTTTTGGAATAGCTCAAAATGTTCTTATACAAGGTCAGGTGTTCACATGTGAATAAAGCCATTCTGCAGGTGTAATCAACTTTATAAATTAAATAATTATATTGGAAAACTGTCAATACATATAATATTCATTCGGGATCTAATTAGAGGACTTTGAAAATGGAGCCAAGAAAATTGAACTGTAGCCCAAACAAGATTGACAAGATACTTGAGTAATAAATATTTCATGTTCTTTCTTAAAAATGTGTTAATATACTACAAGAAGGGAGGCCTTACCATAATAAAATTCCCCTTGTTGATACATCATTGGAATCTGGACTTCACTTTCATCATCTTTAGTGAAGGAAAAGGTTCTAGTATTTTCAGGTCTAAACTGTGACTTCCAGTTCCCTTTGAAATAGACAGCATTGATGAGGGCCAAGTGAGTGCCAGCATCAAAATCTCTTGGGGATACCAAATCTTTCAACAGATCTATTCAGGGAAAAAAATGAATAGATGAAAATTCATATTAAATTTGAAGGTGAAAGGGGACCAAAAGATTATCAAACTACCATGTAATAGAGTAATCCAGAAAAACTGTATATCATGACCAAATTTACAATAAAGATTAAAAGTATCTTGCTTTCAAAGGAAAAATGTTACACACCCCCCACACACACACACCATACATGATTAAAATGTCATCAAATTCAAAAATTTCCCATAAATTGGATATCTTATTTCTATCATTTGAAATATTCCTTTACAAATCTATGTATAAAAGTACTGGGTCTTTGTTGACAGCTAAAAATGTTTAAATAGTTTGGAAATAGACAGCTTTTAATAATTCAATCTATTCCAAGTGGATTATTATTCTTGACCTAATCTTTGAATGTTAAAATACAAACATAAGTTTCTTTAGCCTACATTTTAATGTCATAGTTGAAAAAGATAGGACCAAAATTTATATTTTCTCATTTTATTAATCATAGCATTTTTTGGGGGGGCTTACAAAGTTGCCCCAGAATTTGGGGGAATATAGGACATAGGGCATGTGTCAGGGCTTTTGGTTGTTGTTCCAAAATAACATACATTAGATTGACATTATTTGGGGAGTTTTGACAATATGAATTAATTTTAACAAACATTTTTTTAATCTGCTTTCAATTTGAACTCATTTAAAAAAAATCTTATTTCAGTATTTTGATGGCAAAGTTAGAAAATAAAATGGTAAGATATGGGGATGCCTGGTGGCTAATTGGTTGAGCATCTGCCTTCAGATTAGGGCATAGTCCTGGGGCTCCCCGATGGAATCTTGCATCGGGCATCCTGCATGGAGTCTGCTTCTCCCTCTGCCAGTATCTCTGCCTCTCTCTGTCTCTCATGAATAAATAAATAAAATCTTTTAAAAAATGGTAAGATATGAAGCACTTAGAAAGCTTAAATACATTATTAAAGTATAGATTAGAAACATTTATTATTTTTAAAGATTTTATTTAAAAAATTTTATGCTCAATGTAGGGCTCAAACTCACAACCTCAAGATCAAGTATCACAAGTTGTCTCCACCAGCCAAGGTAGCCAGTTGCCCCAGGATTAGAAATAAATTTTAAAATAAATGTATCTCTTTCTAAATCTCCATCTACTGGGGCTTAAAATGGCATGCTCTCTTTTAAAGAAATCCTGTAGAAATTTTTTGATTGACAATCAAGTTCTGTCATTTAAAAGCCCAACTCTGATTTTTAACTCTTTCTTATATTCTATTTTAAGAATATATTTAAGAGCCCCACCAACTGCCATTCTAACTGGTATTTAGCTTATTAAATAAGTCGACTCAAGCAAAATTCCATACAGTAGTTAAGATTACCATGCAGAGGAAAACCATGATTGGAGTGACAGATTTCAGACTGGTTTATCACAGTGCCAAAATCCTTCACATGTCAAAAGACTTAAGCTCTTTCATGAATGTTTATTCATAGGCAATGCCTCTAAAAAGACTGTAGTCTATACAAAGTAATTATTAGATACTCAACTAAATGCTATCTCACATTCAAAAATTCAAATGGAGTGAAGGGACAGATAATTTCAGAAGTAGAAGAGAGTTAAAACTAAGCTACCAAAGAGAGAGAGGAACCAAATGACATACTATTTGTGTTATTCTCCACCCACTTATTGATAAGGTTGGCCACGGCTATATTTTGACTGAAGTCCACATGATTCACTTCTGCTTTAAAGTATTTTTTCAGCATTTGCAAAAATTCCTCATTGACATGAAATCCATTTTGCACGAAGAGAGAATTGGCAATTTTCATCACATACTGGCTCTCTTTAGCAGTTACCATGTTAGAAAAATCCTTCAAGAAGGAAAATTCGTCACCTGCAAAATGACAAACAAGTTTATTAGTGTTACAAATACAGTGAACGATCACGGGGAGTGGAGAAGCGAGATTGATAGACAGGAGCCCAAGGGAAGAGCACTAGTTTATGCCCCACATCGACACGATTGAAAGGTTCCAACATTTGTGCTTTTTCTAGATTTTCAAATTGACTTTTAGTATTATAAACTGGCATTATTTTTCTTTTTAATTGATGTCTTGGTAGAATCTATAGTGATTTTTTAGTTGTCTCCCAAGTACTTAGATTATTGTCATTAAACTGGTCTTAATTTTTTAATTAATAGGAATAAGAATTAAGCTTAATTACCTAATTTAAAAATCAAAATATTCCTTGAAATTTTATTTTCACTGGACTTTTTTGCTTTAAAACTATAGAAATCCATTAGTAATCATTGAGTTCTTAACTTTTTAATGAATCGATTCTCATGTATATTAAAAACATTAGAATAGAAATCATACATCATATCAAAATGATTACAAAACACCTTCTGGCTAAAAACTTTCCCCAATACATAAATTTTCATAATAATAAAATATTTCAAAAAATTATTGCATCCTAATCGGAAACTAATGTTATGCCATATGTTAACTAATTGAATTTAAATAAAATAAGTACAAAAAAAAAAGGAAAAATTCTTGGATGCTATTTAAAAAATAAAGATACAGTTGGTTTTAAGCAAAAACTTTTGATTATTCTTAGAGAATCTTGTTGCATCTCTTCATAGCAGTTATCACAGTTGTAAGTTTTCATTTATTTATGTGATAATTGATTAATACATGCCTCTCCCTCTAGACTGGAAACTCAGTAAGAACCATGTTTGCTTTTATTCATCACAGTGAGGTCTATTTAAATAATTATAATAATAAAATCTTCAATTTCCTTAGATTAACTCAGCTAAGGATGGAGCTAGGAATTAATACCTTTCCTGGGTTCCTAATGGTTTTCCTAACTATACCATCTCAAAGATCTCACTTTCTCGCACTGTGTGAATAATGCTACCTATGGCAGAAGACAACAGAACTGAGTTGAAAGTCAAACCACCCTGACAAATTAAACCTAAGCCCTCTCACCATTTTTCAGGCTGTCATATCCCATTGAATGACGAATTTCCTTCAAGGTAGACCCTTGGGCCCCAAGTTCCATCATTCCCATAGCGAAGGTAACACTCAATGGAGAGAAAAGAATATTTTCATCTTCCCCAGTGGCTCGAAGATGGTTATACATATTCACCGACAACTCAGCAATGGTTTCATCAGGGAAAGTGGCCGCTAAAGCCAGACTTTGCAAAACCAGCAAAGAGAAGAGTCCGAGGAAAGCCATGATGGGAGTGCTTAAGCCTGGAAAAGAATAATTTCCATATTAATTATTAATTACCTCTGAGAATGGAGTGAAAGACAAAAAAAAAAAAAAGAAAAAGAATTATTTCTTGACAAAGTTGTAAAGCAAACCAAGTTTTTAAGCAATATACGGTGTTAAAATCTCCTAACAGAAGCCTCGTTTAAGGATATGTTGTTGGAAGATACTATTTTTTAAAAGGCAATTAACAGTCAAATGAACAAATGACATTGCTAAATTCTGAGGATATTTCCAGGAACAAAGTAGCCCTGGTCCTTACCTTCATGGGGTTAAACGTTCCAATAGATAGGTATATAATGGATAATTACAGACCATGTTTGGTGAGGCTAATTTATCCATTTTTCATATCTTCACCATATATGTTCTGGTCAAGATTTTGAAACAATTTACTCTATCTTACACTAACCTAGATAGGTCCAGGAAAGCTACAACAGACACCAAAAGGTATTTTGGGTTTAAGATGAACTCATGAAGTCAGGCTTTTGAAAATGGTCACTTTACCCATTTACTATAATTTATAAAACTAATGCACGGTGCAACTGGGTCGCCAACAGGCATGAAAAGATCACTCACACCTGCTGCAGGGCCCAGTTTATTCAGCCCCGGCTGCAGAACCCACAGGAAATGGTAACCCAGAGAAAAAGCTTCAGCTCATCCTCATGTGATTTTCCCTTCCAGGGTGGCTCCCTGTGAGGCTGCTGCTCCCACCAGGGATCCTGGGCAGGGGGGGAGCCTTCTACAGTACTGTCCTTTTAGACTCAGGCTGATATCACCATTTCAATTCACACCAACTAAATGATACATTTATTATCTATCTATCTATATCTATCTATCTATCTATCTATCTATCTATCTATGTATTTATTTATTGATGCTTCTATTTAAATGAGTATTTCTAGGGATGCCTGGGTGGCTCAGCGGTTGAGCGTCTGCCTTTGTCCCAGGGCGTGATCCTGTAGTCCCATGATCGAGTCCCACATCGGGCTCCCTGCATACAGCCTGCCTCTTCCTCTGCCCGTGTCTCTGCCTCTCTCTGTGTCTCTCATGAATAAATGAATAAAATCTTAAATAAATAAATAAATAAATAAATAAATAAATAAATAAACAAATGAGTTTTTTTTAAATAAATGAGTATTTCTAAAAAAAATTTTAAAAATAAAAAAAAATAAACGAGTACTTCTAAATATCAGATTTATCTGGTTCTTGAACCATTTTCTCTTTGGAAGGGAAAGTGCCAGTGCCCAGACATCCCTGGATAACATTTCTCTTCCTCTTGGCACACCAGTGTTCCCGAAGCTCTGTCTCCCCACAAACGGCAAGCACTGACCAGCAGGCAGCTGGGACAGAGCGGCCTCTTTCCTTGGATTCTCCCACTTTGTCACTGAGGCATCTAAAAGCTGAACTGCCTCTGCAAACAATCAAGTAGCTTACTTGTTCATGATCTTTAATATATATATATTTATATATGTATTTTATATATAATATATATTATTTATATATACATATTTATGTATATGTATGTATATGTGTATGTATGTAACATACAAACAACATGCAGTGATACTGAGCAAACACATATGGAAATTGTGTTTCAATTAACTTAACTCAGTTAACAGAGCACATACACAGTTTACTTAAGAGTAAGATGTTTCTGGCAGGCGTTTGAGTCCAAATATTCTCCTCCCTCCTGTAGTGTTTTTAACTCCAGCTTCTGAGAACTGCCTTGTTAGTTTGTAGGTCCTTCGCATTTTAGGGTTCAGTTTAAGGACTCAGGTGGTTTTGTTTTTTTTTTTTTTTTTGTCAGAGAAACTCCAAGCATTGCTCCCATCCCTCTGCTTTTGCATTAAGGTTTTAGATTATTCTCCTTTGTCTAGGAAGGTGAGGCTCTGCCTGTATGTAAATACAAACTCTCACACCCCACGCTGTGGGGGACAAGGCTGGCTGCCTGTGGGAGGTCAAGTGCACTGCCGCAGAGCAGCAGCTGTGGTGCATGCAGTGCTGGGACTGGAGCCCCGGGGCAGGGAACCCAGCTGCCCTGCTAGCTAGCCTAGGGACTTGGGTCATCAGTGGGAGCCTGTCATGGCATTCTCTCTAGCTTCTGTACTCCAGGGGACTCCACCAGAGGATGGGGGTACAAAAGGGGAACTTTCTCAATCTCTAGATTTGGTTGGAAATTTAGCAGGTACCCTTCTAAGTTGAAAGACACCTTAAAATATATCCAGTATTCAATACTTAGGATGTAATACTGGTTAGTAGAACTCGGAAATCCAAGTCAGACTCAGAGGCCTGTGCTCTTAATCATGACACTGTACTGCTGTCTGACATGCCCTGCAAGCCTCAAAGCTGGGCCTCATTACTTTCATTTAATGTTGCCTTGTGTAAGACCAAGAAATTGAAGTCACTGTACGGTCGTGGTGTCTGTCATTCAGTAACATAGCTATTTGGAAACCATTGCATTTAACATGAGTATCGAGTTTGAGGTTAATAAAAAGATTTCATTGATATAAAACGAAAACCACAGGATGCCTGAGTGGCTCAGTGGTTGAGCATCTGCGTTTGACTCAGGTCGTGATCCCAGGGTCCTGGGATCGAGTCCCACATCAGGCTCCCTGTGTGGAGCCTGGGTCTCCCTCTGCATGTGTCTCTGCCTCTCTGTGTGTCTCTCTTGAAAAAATAAATAAAATCTTAAACCCCAAAAAAACAAAAGCCAACCTGTTGCCAACCAACAAGCAGTCCAGTAAAACAAGGCCAAGTTTATTATATTTGTCCGCATTTTTATTTACAAAGGAATGTACCATGAGATAAATTGGCGAACATATGATGTATGACCCCTGGCAAATCACATGTGTTCTCTCAGTCTTAGTCTCCTCGTTCATAAAATAAAGGCGCCAATCCCCACTCCACACACTCAATGAAGAAATACATGATAGAGTATATATTCGAAGCACTCATTTTAAGCTAGAAGTTATATTAACAAGAAACCATTACCATTAGAGAATGTATTTCCTAGATTTGTATATTTGCTGAGTCAAGAAGAGGCTACAGAGCCAAAATGAGTATTTTATCATTCCTGTTGGCTCATCTACTGTGGCACTATTAGCCATCCATGCAGACAAAAGTGAAAGAGGTACCATGAAGGTACCAAAATGTATAAGCACAAGGAACTCACATCATTGTATAAGAACATTTAACCTATTACAGTGGTTCTTATCTTTTTAAGAAAAGAGATTGTTTTAAGAATCAGGAGATGGGAAAATAATCTCTTGAGAAAATGCATGCATGTGGATAAGAGAACATGACTTTCACTGGCCAGGATATTTATTGGCCTCCATTTAGGAACCTATAGTCTATAGCAGATGGTCCAGATGCAGAAAGAAGCAGTGTTGGGTGGACCTACAGCTCTGATGTGTTTCCTTAGTGGGGGAAAGAGATGTCAAAACCACTAATCTATCTGTAGGCTTCTGGCAGACTTCTGGAAAGATCACCCCCATGTGTTTGTGAGAGAGGGCTCTTGCCAGGGCAGTGAGCACCAGGCCAGTGATTTACATGCTCTGCTAGGAAATTAGAAGTAGTATGGCTATGAATGGTGGGAGCGAGTTATATCAGGAAACTCTTTAGTAAAGATTTAAAGAACTGTGTTCTGGAAACACACATTTTGTCTATAGTTAAGTGATCTTTCCTTCTTTTAAAGGCAAAATTTCTAGTGTGCAAGAAAAATGACTTCTGCTAGAATGGTCCAGCCTTTCTGATCTTACCTACCCCACCAGCTCTTCACCTCTGCTGCCTCTGACTACTCCTTCCGAGGATTTTTTCCTGGGGAGGAGGGAAAACTTCCTTCTCTTCTTCTACCTTCTAAGTAGGGAGCATTCTCTATGGATCTATGCCCAGCCCTCTTCTCTTCTATGTAATGTTCCTCTCATGCCGGCTGGTGAATTCTCATAACAAAGATATTTCAACTACCATCCTTGCTCATATTATTCCCCAATAAATTGTTTGTTTTAGCCTTTAACTCTTGCCAGCACTTCAAATTCAAGACAGCTCAAACACAGCTCTGTCTTATCAATCAAATCCATTCTTTTTTTTTTTCCTTTCTTTCTTAGAACATCAAAATCTGACTCTTCTCCATGTCCCTTTCCCTTATGTTCAATGAGCTGTCAATGCTTATTCCAAACTGTGTTCCTGACACTTCTCCTATCCATTATCCCATGACCATTCCCATGGCCAAAGTGGCAGTTCTTCCTCTTGCATTTGCAAGGACTCCATCAATGGCTTTTATCCATTCTCTGAAGCCCATTGGATTAAGCCGTCTTTAATCCAATGTACATATAGTCCCTGGATGAATTATTTTGATGTACTATTATGAACAGGTGTTCCTCTATTTACAAAACCTCACAATCTTCCTCCTGTAGAGTAAAGCCTCAAATCTTTAGTCTTACTGTACTATGATCCAACATGTTTCTACCCACTACTCCCCTTCAGGGATCCTGCATTTCAAGCCAGACTCCCTTTTTGCAATACATATTCCAGAATTTCTGTCTCCTGTTGCTGGCTTGTGTAGTGCTCTTTCTGGAACTACTTCAACCGGGTTCCATATGTTCAGATCCTAACTACTCCTCAAGGTTCTGCTCCACTTCCATTTCCTTTATGAATACCCTCCTAGTTCTTCAGTTACAACAGCAATTTCCCCCTCCTCTAAAATGTTGGCACATTTTATCTCTACCTCTCCAACAGCACATTGCTTCCTTCTATTACGGATGGATAATTCTGTGCACGAGGCAGCTCTTTTCCTAGGCTTTTTGAAGACACAGATGGAAGTGCATTCCTCTTTGTATATCTTAAAATAATCAGAATAAGCATTTAATGCATTACACATCGTAGGTGCCAAATATTTATTGAATTAATATAGCTCGAGATGTAAAGGCTCACAAATGTTGCATTAGAAGGAACAGCAAGAGTAGCGGCTGCTTCTCAATTCTCAAAG